TACCTAATTAGCTGTCGCATACAAAATTCCCGCGAGTCCGCCATCTTTGCTTCTTCTCAGTTCCAGCCCCAACTCGGTCGTACTATGTCGCGGGCAACCCACCCCTCGATGGGGATTTTCTGCTGCCCTAGTTTTACCACTGTAGAACGCCCGGCACCCAGAACCCAGAACCAGAATTAATTTGGAATGCGGTGGTTTTGGTAGAATCAGTATGATTAGCTTATTACTAGCATGCTTTGAAGACGAAGGAAAAAATTGAGAACAACACAAAAATCATGTAAGTGGAATGAACAGTGCAATAGCGTCAACATAGGAGAATTGTTTGCGCCTCGTATTTACCTTGAAGAAGTTTTAATTAAAACGTCTGAGATGCAATATTCGCCTTCTTTATTATTCCTCATCCTTCTCTTAAGTGCGCAGTAAAAGTTAGATATCCCTCTGTAGTCGATGATCTCTGAACCCACTGTCGCATTAAAAAATAACGTGGATCGGATCTCCCATGTTGAAGGGCAGTTTTTTCTTCCCAGCAGATACGAATGTGAATTTTCGCAAGTTACAGAGTTTTTTTTCAGCTGTTACTTACCACTTACTACCCGTCAACTGCGTGGTGCGGTTTCTGCTCTTTACCGCGCACACCACTTCCAAGTCGACACCTCTCTATGGAATGTCTGTTCCGCCATTTTACACGTCTAATTTTATCTGCTTTGTATCCCTTGTCAAACTGTTAATCTATGAAACATAATCGCAATTCATGCAAGGAAAGCCATTTATCCATAGGGTCAAATTTTCACGCAGCAGCCAAAGTGAGAGAAAACAAGTATTGAGACACTTGCGTATGAATGACGTCTTTGTCTTGTTGCTAGTCAAAGCAGTGGCGAGCGAGACATCCCACAGGGCAGTAAATTGAAGTTCAGCCACTTCCACCAGGATAACTCCTCGTCGATCTTTGATTAGAACCATGCCACAAACTGGAACAGCAATCTCGATGGCAATGAAGTCATTAGCGACCGTGTTTGTCGTCATGCTTTTTGGCGCCGTGAGCTTGAGTCAGATCACCAGTCCTTGTCCAAAGGAATGCGTCTGCGAGGAGCAATATTTCTCTGAATCACAAGGCGTCGGAGCGAAAGTAAACTGCTCCGGAAAAAAGCTGAAGCGATTTCCCTGGCCTCTTCCACAAGTAACTACAACATTGTAAGTGAATGTCTTGTTTCTTATAATAACTCTTATTTGCAAAGACAAGCATGTAAGAGTATTGCACCTTTTTTAAAGCGATTACATTTAGCAGTCGGCAAGATTGGGTAACGAAAGTTGTCTTAATTAATTAATTGATTAATTGTTTCACAAATACACCGCTAATGATTTGCCCGAATTAACGATCAAGGCGAGTAAACTTGCTTTTGGATGTCCTCGATGAGCGACTTTTCAGCATAAAGAAATTTTAAGTGCATTCTTATATACGATGTATTACATGACATAAAACATTGCACTTCTATATCGCGGTAAAATAATAAGACTTGATGACAGAAATCCAAGCGTCCCAAATTAAGACACTTACCACATAAATGCTTATCATTATTTTTACAAACCCTTGGTTGTTTCTCTTCATGGCTTGCGAAGTATTTAATCTCTTGGCCTCTCCAGTCCATCAGATTATAAGGACAATACGTATGTTTTTCTAGCAGTCGTCAAATTCCAGGGAGGTTAAAAGGGCTAGGTCATGTATAGAGCTGATGAAATGGTCTTAGAATTAACTGAAAAATCATCAATAACGGCTTAAAAGAGTGAGAGCTAGTGAAAGAAAACCTCAAAAGAAACACAGAAAGTCCAAAAGGGGGCACGGGTGTTCAGAATTGAAGAAGATTAAAATGGATTGCATTTGGTCAAACATTAAAGACGTCGCCGTTTTTCAAGTTTGTCTCAGTTAGTATGATAATGCCATTTATGATGCTAATAGGGCCTCGCAAGTGTCTTATGATTAGTGGAGAGCTGAAACCAGCTCGAAACGCGAACGAAGATAAAATGCGTGTGACTCGCGCGATATATCCTGGGGAAATCATCACGGATCCTGGTTGGAACCACGAACAGCTGTCTGTTTAGCACATATGGCAAGCGTAGATTTATTTGCCCATTTGCGATCATTGTGAAAAGTGCCAAACTTGTCTAATCTAGGCACTTATATTCAAGAAAAACCCTCCATCACCCTCCCTCCCCACCTCCCCCCCAAAAATAATAACAATTTCTATAGCCACTAAGCAGTCTAGACCTTTCCTAACTCTACAAAGAGTGTTTGCTAAAGCGAGTCACATGTCCGTAGAAAAATTGCACAGGAAATCTTTTATTTCATTCTCACAGACTTCGAAAGATCACGACCCTTTTGGTTTCGTTCGGCCACCGTTAACAAAACACGCGAGTGTTCTGGGATTCAGATGCGAATGAAGAAGGTCTGACCACATGAAACGTTACATGTAACTGGTGTTTTCCCGGTTGCTAAATTGCCCACAGCCTCTATGCCCAAACAATGTGTTAATGTTCAAACGTTTAATCCTCAGGCGTTATACTTAACATGTTGGGTGTTGTTCATCACCAGGCTACTTCAGAATAACAAGATATCCAGGCTGGAAGGATGGCATTTTAGGGGGATGATATATCTGATGGTTTTGTAAGTAACTATCACAGACACGGACTTCAGTTAATCGTGTTATCCAATGTTACGTTATTTCATGTCATGTTACAATACGTTATGTTACGTTATTCATGTTGTTTGAGGTTACGCGTTACTGTCAAGAACTGATGCGCACTGTAACATTTGCGTTTCCGACTAGCTGTTGTCTTTCATTGCTTGAAAAATTGAAACCCAGTGTTACATTATGCTAAGTTATTTCATGTCATATTGCGATACGTTACGTTATGTTATGTTTGAGGTTACACGTTACATCAAGAACTGTCGCACCCTATATCATTATCGTTTCCAACTAGTTGTTGTCTGAATTTCATTGCTTGAAAATCGAAACCAAAGAAATCAAGACAATCTCTACGTGCCGCTCAACTACAATGGCGGATGGCCGTAATTGACTGATAGGAATTTGGAAAGCTAACAGAACGAGGTCTGAAAGCTATCAACAAATCAGCTTGGCATTCTGTCAGTGTAAAATAGCGTCAGTCTACATTTCAACGTTTTTCCTTTATTTCCAGGCATCTCGAGGGAAACCGAATAAAAAAGATTGAAGAAACCTCCTTGGGATATCTCCCTTCTCTTCATACATTGTGAGTCAATTAACGGAGAAATCTTATCTGCAAATCATATCCTAAATACAGTCGCTCAAGACACATCGAATAACGTGTCAGCAGCTGTCTGTTTGTATGAAGTACAGGGTGGCACGTAGGGGGACAGCCTAAAAGGTCAACGATGCTCGTTGGAATATTAGAATGAAACCCTGAAGGAGACCAATGTGGGTGTGGTTCGAGTTTCATTCATTTGATCCCTAACAAATACTACTTTAAAACGCGCATGATGGCGTGTTTTATTATTTCTTCGAGTACAGCCCTAAAAGACAGTGACGTTTTAACCTAAACGCCCTAAATGAGACCAAGATCCATGATTTACACCCCTAAGCGAACGACGGGTATCCACGACCTCTTTCCATGGAAGTCCCCCCTGAGGGGACAGGCGGTTTGAACCCCTAATGATTTAGTACTTCTCTGTACCAGTAAGTATTTCAGGGAAGAAATATCTAATAGGCTTGAACTGAGGTTTCAGCTATCTAAGCGCAAGTCATGTTCAGTCAACTTTTCGTAGTCAAGTAGAAACCCTGTCATTTGTTTTATCTTCTTCTTTAAGGTATTTACAGAACAACCGCATTGAAGAAATGGCTTTTAGGGCATTCAGGAATTGTACTAGGCTTAAAACTTTGTAAGTAAAATGCATTGAGCGAAGATTGTTTCAATTGGTTCATATGACACCACCGGCCTTTTTCTCAGGACCTTAGCTTCTCGGCCGTGAAATCAAACATGGACGCTCAAGTTCGAGAGCAGCTACTAGTAAAGCTCTGTAGTAAACCCTGCCCTGTCAATTGTCGAGATCACAATTGACTATATACACAAAATTCGACAGGAGAATAAAAGCAGTGTCTAAATTTACTCATCTACCCTTTGTGAAAGATGAGTATGTTTAAATTCCAATGACGTGACGTTTTTAAGATTTCTTTTGAATTACAGAGTGAGGCAAAGGGTCTGAAGAATAAATTAATTCATTTAATTCAACACTCTTGATGTGAAACCAAAATCTCGAAATAACATCGTAAATCATATAATTTGTGATCATATAGAATTCTGATGTTATTACCGGGCTGAAACTACGTACGAACAGTTGAAGCTGATTACTTAATTTTCACTCACTCAATAGGAACCTTGCAAAGAACAAGCTCAAAAGCCTTCAGTATGCCGCATTTGACGGTCTGGATCAACTGGACAAATTGTAAGTGCACACGAGGACATTAAAGAAAGTATTGCGTTCCATGGAAAATAAATGTGAAATTAAAATTGTTTCTTTTATGAAAATGAGGACAAACGAAGTATTTTAAAAGTATTTACATATCTGATTAGGCTTAACGTCGAGACCGCCGTTTGTGGCTTCCAAATGTGCCGGCGGTATTCAATGATTGGCAGACAACATTTGACTT